GGCCAGGAGTTAGATGGGAAAATAGACCCCAAATCCTTTTTGGAAAGAAGCTTGCAAACCACAGCCCACACCTGATGCCCCAAACCTCTACCAGGTGTAAACAGAAGGCCATCATATTAGTACATCCTCTTTACCTCAATCACTTGGTTACTCCCTGCAAAACTGTCCTCATAGAGAGTCATTTGATGCTTTCTGGGCATACCTGTTTCCTAAACCCCATTATCCAACCCAAAGCATGTTCAGCCTTCCGGTGTCTCTTCCTGTCACTCATAATTGGAAGGCTTTGGCATTGTGGTCTCACTGTTAAGTGTTCTTTTATACCAAGGAACCAGCTATAAAATCCTACTTCCGGTAGTTTTTAGAGATTACCTTCTCTACTTTCAATTATAGTTTAAGAACTTCTTAGATCACCTTCTTCCTTCTGGAATTCATGATACAGTGATGACATGCCTTCCCCCGCAGCCTCTCCTCACCACTCATATTTGGGCCATCATCAGACTAGGGTTTAGGTTCAGAATAATTATTATTCAGTTCTAATTTGACAGTTCCAGGGCTTCCAGAAATATGGTAGTCAGAATGTCTCATTATAGTCATAAAGCTTTAAGTGCTATATTTTATTGACTCTTGCTTTTAAGCTACACATAATAAATGAGGCTAGTTGGGAATAGAGAGAGCGAAAGGTGCCCAGATGCCCATTTCTTTTGTGGCCCTTTCACCTGGCACCCTCTCCCCGTAGCTCAGCCCAGAGTTCCTGCTCCAAGTTCCCACCACCCTCTTCTATGGTTTGAGTAACTTTCCTGCTATCTCCCCGATCCCATAACACTATCCGCTGCCACCCTTATGCTCTGCTTCAGCTCTTCCTACCAGGGAGAGGCTTTGTCCAAGTTTATAATGGGACAGATGTGCAGACCTTCATCATGACAGCCGCCCGTCTTCCAAGCGAGCTGGAAATAGAAGGGTCCCTCCAGCTATAGCCTAGCAGTGATTTTGTGTGGGCAGCCCTTTCCTTGGCCCAGTTTGTCCATCATGTGCACACTTGTGTACACTGGCAGGCATCCTGTGCACACACACATGTAGGCAGTCCTGGACTTGTGCCACCTGATGGATGCAGGCAAATGCCTGTGTCTTCCTCCCAGCTGCACACGTGTAGGCACCCAGGTCCTGGGGTTTAGGATATTCAATAAATAAAGTAATTTTTTCTCCCGTCAGTGCTTAGAATTATTAGAGATGTAGAAATCAGGTGGAGATAAAAATGTCTATTTTGCAACTGAGTGGGGCTGTGACTTCACTCTGCAGAGAGAGAGAGATTGCAGCATTTCATGTCAGATTAAACTCAATCTTAAAAAAGCACAGGAAGCTGGAAATCTCCCCAGCAGCCCAGAGGGAACTCTTGCTTGCTTCCTGTGGGCAGGTTCACACCCAGAGAGGAAGGGGCAGAGGTGAGCATGCCTGGGTCTGCCTTCTGAACACCCCAGTCAGGTGGCTGAGGAATAGAGGAGGGCTGCTGAGAGATGCTAAGAGTTATTGCTGTAGTGATCTCTGTCCACATGGGACACATACGACTACATGGATAAATCCCTACACCTGGCCCCAGGTCCATGGGGAATCAGGTGTCTGGAACTGAGCAGTCAGAAAATGAGTTAGAATCAGAGCTGGAGGCCAAGTGGAAAGGGAGTGAGACTTAGGGGACAGGCTCCGGAACTGGACTTCTGCAGCCGAGTTCCACCCTCACCAAGACTTGGGTCTAGATCCCAAAGTGGAGCAGCCAGCTGATGAGTGGAATAGATAAAAAGGACCCGAGTGGGGGGAAATAGAGAGAAAGCTGAAAAGAGCATGCAGCTGCCATAGGAAGTATCATTAGTAAATACTGAATTAGTTCCTTTACTCCATCCTATATAATAAAAGCCTAATATGCTGAATGTTTGGTCATCTGGTCAGTCGTTCAGCCACAACGCAGGATGTGCAGACTGTTCAGCAGATGACTGGGTGGCTGCACGGGTACTTCCCAGTTTCTGCCGAAGAGGGGAGGGAAAAGAGGCAGAAACAAGAGATCGACGGGAGATGCAGGATCCTAAGCCCAGCACCACTGGGCACTGTAGTCAGCCGTTGCACAAGTCTGTTTATTGGGCTCCTAACTGCATGCCCCTTATCTCCTTCCCTTTCTTGGTGTGTTACTCTGTGCAGACACACCCATCCCAGGTTTCTGGGAATCCGTACCTGTGGGGGGTCAGGTAGGCACTTACATCCCTGCTTCTCCACCTTCCTTGCCTGGCATCTCGCAGCCTAGACAGGAGGCCCCACCATATGCGATATGTGCGCTGTGTTTGTCCAACACGCTTGGAAGCACAAGTGAGCTCTGTATTACCGCCCTCGGCTGGGGTGCCTGGCAGCGCCTCCTTCTCGCCCTGCAGAGCCACAGGACACACCCAGAGACAGCCCTCCGCTTTGTTCCTCCGCCCCTGGAGAAAACCTTTGATTTCATGGGGCGATTATTTTTCTTCCTGCCCACTCAAGGATGAAGCTCAAGAAGCAAGAGGTCGCCCCTTTCAGAGGCACCACAATGGTCACCTCCAGCCAAAGCCACGGTTTTTGTTATTTCTGGGTTCGGCGGAGCCTCTCTTGGAAACCATTACTATACAACTTACTTAAAAGAAAGAGTGGAGGGATTGGGCCTGAGAGACTCAGACGGAGGGGGAGGAGCTGGGGGGCTTGGGACCGAAAGGCTGGAAGCAATGTGTTGTCCGAGAAAGTACAGGAAGGACACTTTAAAGCGTCTCTCCGATTTGAATCAAGGCCATTTTGTAGTTACATTTTGAACCTTTTGCAAAGTAAAAGTACTCCACGTTTGACTTTTAGGCAAGCCTGGAGAATTGGAACTTTGGATGAAGGTTTCAGAAAAGGACAACACACACACACACACACACACACACACACACACACACGAAGGGGGAAGGAAGGGGAGGGAGACTTTTATCCTAAAGTCATTGTAAATCCAAAGCAGGGTTTTATCCTCTGCAGTTAAATGAGAAAGAAAAAAAAAATCAAGAATACCAACATTGGAGATACAAAGACTGTCATGGGCCAGTGGAAGTTTGCAGAATTATATGTAAATGGCCCCAGTTTCTTACTGTGGTGGCCTGTGCGTTTCCAGAGCTAATCCCAGAGAGAAAATCTACTTAGCAAAAGGAAGTTTTGTCTAATTTGGTTAACAGTTGAGAAGTGACAAAAATGCTGAATATATTAATAATTTATATTTCCAGGGTAACACTATATCGGTAATGCTTTGCTGCCGGGGGAATTCAGACGGGCTTAATGCTCCGATGAGAAAAGACTGAGAGGCCCTCCTTGGATTCTGTGCCCCGCGCCGAGGAAAATGGGTGTAAGACATGTGTCCCAATAATAGGCGCCGAGCATGCTCCCATTTTGCTGGATTTGTGTCCGCCCCATATTGCTCCGTGTGTATTTGTTATCCAGAAGGCCTCCTGCCCTTACACTCACTTTCGTGCTCCAGCTGTATCAGTTCACGAAGGAAGAGATATTGGTTTGAACATCACATTTTAGGGAATGTGCTGCAGCGACATGGAGTGCATGGAAGGACAAGAACCACTTATAAGACCTTTTCTAAAGTTTATAATTTCCCCGCCCCGCCCCCAACAAAAACAACAACAACACATACACACTTAGGTTCAGTGTATGCGCAACGGGATGTAATGAGGCGGTTTGTTTGGTCCTGCCTCTGTATAATCAAGGTTGATGGTTTACAAATTGCAGGTCATCCTCTTCCATGACCTCAGTAAACAGCGCAGGTCAGAGCTCCCTTAAGCCCTGTCCACAGAGACGGAATAAGCTAATTATCGTCCTCCAGCTAATCTGGGGGGAGACGGACCATCCCAGTGGAGCTACACGGCCCCTGGACACAGGGAAACCTGCTACATCATTTCGAATTCTTTATGTAATTGGCATCAAAGCTAACGGGGTCAAAAAGAAAAGATGGAACAAAGAAAAGGATCAATAACAGGGAAACATTTAACCCCCCACAAACACAACTCTAGCTAATGGGGCACCTTATTGAATTCTGTCCATTTACATAAAACCACAGCCAGGCTTACTCTGCTTGGCTTAGAAAAATGTGAGCTTAGCTCGCTATTTTAGACGAATCCCTGTTTTGTGGGTAAGGTGCAGATCCAACTGGAATTGAAAATCATAATCCCTTAAAGGTATATACCAACCAAGTCTCCCCCAGAAGGTCTAGTCCCAGACTTGCCAGTGTTCTGGGTGGAGCAGGAAGGTTAAATCCCTCTCCTTGCCCACCTCCTCTTGGGGGGGGCGGGGAACCTTTGCTTACAGGCCTGAGAACCTGAGCCCCAGGCCCTGGCACAGAGGGGGGATCTGCATAGTGGGGTGTGCAGAGGGGACAGCCCCTGGGAGCTCAGCTCCCAGCCTAGCGGTGCTGGCCTCTCCCTCCCCTCCGGCCCCCAATGCCCAGCTCCCTGGAAGCGAGCCCTCTGTGTGTAAAAGGCAATGCCAGCTTCTCTAAGCCCTCCGGAGCAGGGCTTAAAACAACGAAACAAAAATCTTCTTCGGATGTTGTAGAGACGGGTTATGGCTGTAACCATTCAGTGGGCCTGGGTGTCACCACTCTCCAGACCAGCGGGTGCCTACATCTGGGGCCTTGTCGTGGGTTAGGAAGGGCGGCCAGTCTGAGCTGGGCCAGTCCCCCAAAGCCAGTTCGGGGAGAGTCCTTGGACTTGCATTATCTGAGAGCCCAGTGCCCTGTTACTGTGTCTGCCCTTCTCCTAAGCAAATGCCCAGGATACATGTGGGGTGGGAGCGGTCTGCAGCCTCAGGGGAGCCTCAAAATCCAGTCCCCAAGCGACACCTCCATTTACCCCCCACCCCCCAGCTTCCCAAATCACTGAGGGCCATCACCTTGGCCCCTGGGAGTCCCACCTCCGAGGGTGGGATTGTGGAGGAGCAGAAGGTAAAGAAATCCATCTCGGTGGGTCTTTAACAGAAAACATTTATTGCCGGGAGATCTTCAGAAGACTTGGTTTGCCCTTGGCCTTCCCCATCCCCCGTTTGCTGGCGCCCTATATACATCTGTACAACATGCAGCGTCTCCTGAGCAGCGCAGCCCGGGCCCAGGGAAAGGGGCGACGGCTGTCAGAGAGCCTGGGGGTGCTGGGGTGGGTGCAGGCTGAGGCCGTTGGGGTGCGAGTGGCCGATCAGGCTGAGGTAGTGGCGGTCCAGGCCCTGCCCATGCGCCAGGAAGGGGCTGTGCGGCTGCGGGGGGCTGGGCAGCGCCGCGGGCGCGCCAGGCAGGTAGGGCGGCCAGGGGAGGGGCGCGGGGGCCGCCCCCTGCGGGAACGAGGCGGCCTCCCCGGGGCCGTGGCCCCCGAGCTCGGGCCCCGCGGGGTGCAGCGGGCAGGACAGATCGGGCTCCGGGAGGGGCCCCGGCGGCGGGAGGGCGGGCGCGGCGCCCAGGCGCGCCTTGGACTGCAGGAAGCCGAGGATGCGCGCGTACTCCGTGTCCCTGGCCTCCGGGCGCTCCACCGTGGTGAGGTAGTGCACCAGGTTCCGCATGCACTCGCGGTAGCCGTAGTGGAAGTAGTTGGCAAACTCGGCCAGCAGTTCTGCCGGAGGGGCGGGAGGTCACAGGCAGGAAGGACACTGGCGGCCCCTTCCCTCCGGGAGCCTCGGGCGGGCGCAGGCACCTCCCGCCACACGGTCTGGCCAGAGTCCCCATGGGTGCGCCTCCTCCCGCTCCCCAGTCCGGAGAAGGAAGAGAAGCAGCGGGGGCCTGCTTTCTCCTGAGGCCGACTCTGCCTCCCCACCTGAGAGGAGGCCACGGGAGCCAACCAGCCCAGAAACTCCAGCGCTGCCCGCTGGCTTCTGCAGGACCCGCCGCTCCGCTCCTGCGCCCTCTTACTCCTCCCGCCTCCCCGGGTGCGTGTGGCGCGCTCCCTGCCAGGCCTGGCTCTGCCCAGCCCGTGCCCACCTTTCTCCCTTCCCCGGGGAAAGTCCGCCGAGTGCAGCGCCCGCAGGTACTGGACGGTCATCTCCAGGATCTCCGCCTTCTCCAGCTTCCCGGAGGTCTGCAGGGGAGAGGGGTTCACCGCAGGCCGGCCCGACGGCGCGGGGCGCTCCGGAGAGGACTGGGAGGGCGCGGGGACCGGCGCCCCGGCCCGGGAGGGATGCTCCCGAACAGGCCCCCTCTGTCCCCGACCCCGGCATCAGGTGGCGGGCGGCCGCAGAGGGTCCCGGCATCTGGCACCTGCTCAGTGCCATACGTTACCTGCTTCGCCAGGGCCATGGGCACCGTCTTGCCCAGCTCGTTCAAACAGCGGTTAATGCGGTCCCTCCTCCGCTTTTCGATCACTTTGTGCGAAACTCGGGTTCTCTGCGAACAGAAGTTTGTGAATCTCCGGTGGCGTTACCCAGGGAGTGGGAATCCTATGGAAACCCCCTGACCACCGTCTGCCCAGCTCCCCTGCTGCCCAGGAGCTCGCCCTGCCCCGGGCGGGGTCCCTGCCTCTCATACTGGGATGGAACGAGCTCTGCCCTCTTCCTGCACCTGGGTGGGCGTTCCCTTCCAGCCTCCCTGCTCGCCGGGCTGCACCCCGAGCTGAGGGCCAAGGCTGAGGGGAGGTGGCCACTAGGCCTGGGCACTTCCCTCCATCCTCATCCCCTCCCCAGACCACTCAGAACTTCTCTCCAGGAGAGGTCACGCGTGGTCTGGTCCCTGCCCTCCGCCCAGCCGGGTGGCTACCCCTGCCCTCCGCCCAGCCAGTGGCCGCGGGGGAGTCAGTGCCCGGCATCGGAGCGCAGGAGCCTCAGCCGCAGCCACTCACTCTGCGCTCCTTGAGCTGGTGAGACATCCTGGGGAGCGCGCTCCGGAGAGGCAGGCGGGGCGCACCGGCCACTCTCCCCACTCTCCGCCTCTGCGCCTCCCCGGCCCCAGGTGGACTGCGGCTCCCCGCTCCGAGAGGTTGCTTATAAGGTGGCCCTCGGGGCTCCCGGCGCCTTCACGGGCTGAATGATGCCACAGGATTAGGGAGCTGCGTCGGAGGGATGCATGCATTCAAGATCAGTTTTAAAGAAGTTAAAAAAAAAAAATTAGCAGCCGAGGGGGGCCAGCTGGGGGTGGATCAGCTTTGTTAATCCACGTGGCCCTCCCAAGGACCCGTGATTGGCGGGGAGTGCCATTTGCATGGCAGCAGCGCGGCTGGAAAAGGAGGCGGCGGCTGGTGAGCGCCGGTGGCCAGGGGCGCGGGGCGCAGGGGCGCAGCCGGGGGGTGAGGACCCGCACACAACGGCGCCCCTCCTTCCGCCCCGCCGCCGGGGCTCACACCACGGCCTGTTTGCACATCCCGGCGCGCCGTGAAGCCTGTCCAGAGCCATCAGAGTAATTAAGTAAGCCTTTAATAGGCTGTTCCGCTGGGCTCCAGGCGGAGCCCATGGAGACGGAGGCGCCCCGTTTGTTCCCAGGCTTTTCTCACACGACTCGGTGACACGGCCGTCGCCCCCCGTTCTGTGGACGCCGCTTTATTCGCCCGGACCCCCGGCAGGTGTGGCCGCGGCTGGCACACGAGGCGCGGGCGCCGCCGCCCCTCCCGTCCGGTCCGCCTCTGGCACGCGGCGCGCCCCTGCTCCCCGGCCCCGGGCCCCAGCCCCCGGCCCCCGCTTTCTTTTCTCCCCTCTTCGCGGGGATGGGGGCCCGGGGGAGGGAGAGGAACAGGCTCAATTTGTAGCCTCTTATCCTGTACGAAAATGTCCATTGAAAAGTGTGAATGGTTTCCATCGGGCTCCATTTTAATAATGCCCGAGGGCGGGGGAGGAGAGGCGGGCGGGCGGGCCTGTGTGTGCCGTGGGAGGGGGTGGGGGAGGATTGGGGGGCAGCCCAGAGCAGAGGAGGAGGCCGAGAAGAAAAGGGGGCACGCAGCTGGCCCGCGCGAGCATTATGCGACGTCACCTGCGAGCGGGGGCGCCCGCAGACCCCTCTATTCATTTGCCTAATTTTGGTCAATTTAACAAACTTGAGGAGACATGGTTGCGGCTTTGTCAGGGAGGGCGAAGCCTTCTGATCGAATTAACAGCGTGTTTTGATCCGGTAAATGTCATTAGAAAGGGAGAAACAATCGCGCTCCCAGGGCTCTGAGCCATGCGCCCAAGTGGAGACGCCGGAGCGCACGGCTCCTTTGTGAGCCAGGGGCTGCCACAGGGAAACTTTTGTGCCCGCCCCTCGCCCACGTTTTTGACACAAAAAGGCATTATTTCATACTTGAATACGTCTAATCCAACGATTGTCTATGTTCTGCAAACATATTTTCGCAGCATTGTTCACTTTTTATGTCCCCCTTGCGCGGGCGCCTCTTCTGAGCGTTTGAGGGCCGCGGAGCGCAGACACTTTGGGCATCAATATTTGTCACCGCAAAGGGCCCCGCGGACGTGGGGAAGTTGATCTCTTTTTTATGGCTTTAGAGAGCGCCTATATGGGGAGGGGGGCGGAGAGAGGGAGGCACCAGCAGGAGCCGGGGAGGGCCCAAGGGGAGGAGGGGGAGGGCTCTCTGGCTGCGCCTCCGCCTCTGCCGCCGCCTGGATCCTCCGCCAGGGGCCGGGCTGGTCCCCCGCCGGCAGGGCTGGCTCCCAGGCTGCTGCCTCGGAGCCGCGTTCTGGGGGCTCCCAGCTTGCAGTGAGTGTGTGTGTTGTTGTGTGTGTGTGTGTGTGTGGGGGATACGGGGGGGGGCTTTCTTGCAGATGGAAGCTGTGAAAATGGCTTTGGTTTCATGACCTGACTTGGAGCCTGGGAGCTCTCGCGTCTTTCCAATCGCTTCCATTTGAGAAACCAGATGTCTCCGTAGACATTCCTCCCTGCTTTTCTGCTCTCCACCTCCCCTTCAGTCCTCTCTGCTGCTGACGGAGGGCCAGGCCCAGGCTCTCCCCTGAGCGTGGTCAGTTCTTTGCAGAGTCTGGTTTGGGGGAGCCCTGCTCTCCCCTGGGAACGGGGGAGCTCCCAGGGCGCAGAGGCCACCCCGGTGCCATGGGGGGCGCTGGGCCAGCGGGCATCCTGCCTGCCTGCCTCCGGCCCCGGAGGTGCTGGGCCCAGTCCGCACCCCAGGGTGCCCTCTCGTTCTGGCTTTCAGTCTGCTGGCGCAGTTTCTTTTCTCCTCGGTGCCAGGCCGGACACACCGCACCCTTCCACAGGTTGCTCTGCCGGCACGCCCGGTGCCCGCTCAGGGGTTGTCCGTTTCTGTGTATTCACTGGCACACAAAGGGATTAAACCAGAACCCCTATCGTCCGAATTAACCAACGTGAATGGGTAAAAGGGAACGCGCACGCCTCACCCCACCCCCCTGTGAAACCAGCGGACGGCCGGGGCGTTGATCCTCTTACCGCTGGTGTTAACCGCCAGCTGCAGGCACCGTCCATGCCCACGTCTCATTCTGTGCGAACTGGTTAATTTCCCTGTTTGCTGGGAGCTGGGCTCCGGGGCTAGCCCAGGGCTGCGAGTCCCCGTGTGTGTTTGGGGCTCCAGGGAACAGAAGGAGATGTGTGGGCGGAGGTGGGGTGGAGAGGAGGGTACCCTGGTGACGGTGATGTTCTGGGGCTGCAGCTCATGGGGGGGGGGGGGGGGCTGAGGACTCCTCTTCCCGGGCAGGTGAAGGGAAGGGTATTCTGTTTCTCCCTCCCCGGCCTGCAGGCTGGAGCCACAGGCAGTGCGGCTCGGGGACCCTCCTAGCCATCTCCTCCTTAGCCCTCCTCCTCTGATGGTGATAGTGTTCCTGACCTTAACCTTGTTTCCGCCCCAAATGAGGGCAGAGCAATGAAGAGCGGTTCAAATTCCAGCTCCACCACCTACAGGGCGAAGCTTTGGGCTGGTCACTGGATCTTGCTCTGCCTCAGTTTCCTCTTCTGTAAAATGGAGATAATTACTGTACCTGCAGGTCACAGGTGGCCACTGGCATGAAGTCAGCAAACATAGGCAAGACACCTAAAACCAGGTGTCCCTGCTCAACCAATGGTGTTATTTTGCATGGAAATCTCTTCCTGTTACATAAGCGGCTCTACAAGAGCAGTGTCTGTGGGGTCTGCAGTGTTGTATGGTATTTTCATATTTTTGAAGATATATTTCTATTGATGTCAGTGAGGAAGGGAGAGAGGGAGAGATAGAGAAACATCAATGATGAGAGAGAATCATTGATCGGCTGCTTCCTGCATGCCCCACACCAAGGACAGAGCCTGCAACCAGGAATCGAACTTAGAACCCTTCAGTCTGCAGGCCGACGCTCTATCCACTGAGCCAAACCAGCTAGGGCTATTTTCCTATCTTTATCTCATCACCAAGAAAGCTTCACTTTCCCTGAAAAAGTCACAGTAATTTCTTAAATTGACCAAAATCGGGCAAAGGAGCTCCTGGAAGCCCTTCCGCAGGTGCCATCACCCAGTGCTTGCTGGCCAGCGGTGCTCTCCCAGCGCGAGAGCCTGAGAAAGGCTCTCAGTGCGTAGCCTCTCTCCAGATGGTCACCTCAAGTGATTCAAACGGTAAGCATCGATGCCAAAGCAAAGCTGGGAAGGAAGACTACTTAGAAATTAGACAACGCGATGAAACATTAGTCAGCGTTTACACTCCTGGAGAGACGTGCATGCAGTTGTTGCTTTTCTTTTCTTCTTCTTTTTTTTTTTTTTTTTTTTTTAATGTTAACATCACTTAGAAGTATTGCATTCTAGAAGGGGCCGTGCCATAAATGCCCTGTACAGAACTGGAACAAGCAGGGCCAGCAAGCCCCCTTGTTGGGGGAAGCCTTTCAATGAGGCAGTTAACCCATCCCACTAGTTCAGCCCGGAAGTCCCCACTTTGGCTCTCTTGCTGCCATTGCGGGGTGGCCATTCCCACCTGGGATTTGCCCATCAGGTAGCCATCAGCTGTCCAATGCCAAATGGCGGCCTCCAGCTTTGGCCTGAGCAGGGCTTTTCAAGCTTTGAAGTGCCTGAATCAACTGGGGATCTTGTTAAGTGCAGATCCTGATTCCCCGAGGCCACGTTTAGGCAACTCAGTGTGGTTGTGCTGAAGGAAGGAGAACGGGGACCAGAGCCTCCAGGATTGTCTGGGCACCGATGCTGGAGCTAATCTGTAGGAGTCTCCCACATGGCCCCTTCCGGTCACAGTTCGCCATTTACTTTTGGACTTTTAATGAACGAGGGGAGCCCCGCCAGCGTGGTTCAATGGCTGAGCATCGACCTATGAACCAGGAGCTCATGGTTCCATCCCCAGGCAGTGCCCATGCCTGGGTTGCAGACTCGATCCTCAGTGGTAGACACACAGGAGGCAGCTGATCAATGATTACCTATCATTATTGATGTTTCTAACTGTCCCTCCCTCTCTGAAATCTATTTTAAAATATTTAAAGAACTAGGGAAGTGTAACTATAACCACTGAGAGAGAAAGAATACTTTTAGGGAGATTGCAGGATAGATGAAGGTCTTGCTTCCCCCCTCCCCCCCTTTTTTTCTTTAATGTTAACATCACTTACAAGTATCTAACAGATGCTGTGAATGTCCATAATGGGCTTTGATTATTCTAGGCCAGTGTTTCCCAACCTTCTCTCATGATGAGAATCACCTGGTGGAGTTGTTAAAACACAGATTCCCGGATCCCAACTAAGAAGT